TCTTATAAATTCATAATAAATTTAAGTAACTTCATTATGTGATATAATAAAGCAAAGATAATTTGGGTATGTTTGTAAATTACCTTTAAGTCTTTGAAGAATTTGGGGTGCTGATTGACTTCGTTTTTACTTTTACCGTATGTTTTCCTGTACTGGACGATCTTCTGAAATTCATTCTTCACTACTAAATGGTGACAAATGGGAAAAAATCTGTGATTAAGGACATTTATAATAGACCCCCTACATTCTATGAACTCAACTGCAATTCCTTTATGCATTACTGCACAAGCAAGCCAAGCAGCAACAGGTTTGAATGTAATGCTCAGCTGATTAAAAATGTATAAACTGTATGAAACGCTTGACCATGCTTGAATGAATCAGTGAAACTGTGATATACTGTAATCAACTGTGCTCAATCAAGCAACCATTTCTGAAACACTGACGACTACAAATAAGTTTGGTGCAGCAGCATCACAAAACACATCAGACGAGAGCATCCACGTACCGTCCACCTCTGCTGTCAGACCTTTAACTGAAGCTGCAGGAAAACCACAGAAACACACAATCAGAAGGCATTCGACCAAATCAGTCCCAAAAACATCTATCACATCTTCCCATGCAATGACATTTTGATTAGAGTACCTCCAGGAACAGTCTCGAATTCTGCAAGCTCCAGGAAAAAGGTGGCCAAACGTGGTTCTCGCAACATGATCTGCTCCACAAGGGCATGCAGCAAGGTGAACTTCTGATTGTTCCCGCGCAGCTGAGAAAGCTGGGAAAAGGAGGGAAAATAATGAATGTGTTTGTGGAAGTTTCTCCATGCACCTGCGCTTGAGAAAAGATGATACATGTGCTCTGTTCCAAAACCTATGTAGACAGCATTTTAAGGCATTGGAGACACTTACATTGATTCAGCCAAAATGCTGTGTCAATCCCAGAATTACAAAATTACATTAAAAAATGTATCAAATATATAATTATATAAAAAAATAATAAAAATTAAGATGGCAGATATATATATTCCATTCAATACCGAAAAAAAATATTGAAATATATCAAGAAAACAATTGGATATGATAATAAAATGTTGGTTCATAAAAAATATTATATTTAATAAATAAATAAGTAAATAAATAAGACTATCAAATAATTGGTTGATAAAATATGAAATAAATACACACATACATATTAATTAATTAATTAATGATAACACAATAATTAGTTAATAAAATGATTGATA